AAATGGGGTATTGGATATTGGCTTTGCAATCTGGTTTAATTTACTGATTTTATTTCGATACTGGAGTTATATTTCTGGATATTTAGGTGATATGATAATTATAGAGTCTGCTAGAATGTTTGCAGGTTATATACATTCAATGTATTGTGCCCCTCATTTTGTCAAAGTTTTAATCTTTTTAAATTTGAGAATTTAGGGTTCTTGCTTAATTGTCAATACCCATGTGTCTCAATTGAGTGGTCCCCATTCCGTCAAAGTTTTGATCTTTCAAATTTGAGAATTTAGGGTTCTTGCTGAATTTTCAATGCCCATGTGTCTCAATCGGATGGGTCAGCAGGAGATATTGAAAATCTCAGTCTTTTGACTATAACCTACGAGAACTGATGTATATGGTTCGTTCAATGCCTAAAACATCATAAACTAGGTTAAAAATAAAGGGGAAAGCTCTTGAAAGTTAAAATTTTTAGTTTTAACCAGAATGCTCGTGATAGAGTTTTTGGCATATTAGGTGGTTAGGCTATGCTTTTTTCCCAAGATGATGGGGCAGAAATAGAAATGGAATATGGGAGGATAGCTCTGCTTTTCTTTATGTTACTTTAGCCTTAGTTGGTCCACTTTCGGCTTTCTGTCTTTATCTATCCTTTAAATGGAATTGTGGTTCACAGGGCATTATTCTGGGGTCTGGGCCATTGAGCTGAAAGGTATCTTTCGATTCTTTCCCCATCACCATTGTGGAATCATGAAAGAAGGGTAATTTTGACATACAATATAGTTAGGTTTGCACAGATACCTCATCTTTGAGGATAATCACTAAGGTCTGAAGCAGAGATGGCTGGTGAGGAGAAAACTCTTGTTGAAATCTTGGAAGAGAATAATCAGATTGACCTTGCCAAATACATAAACTACGTCAGTGCTCCTCAGGCTGGTGCCATAGCAACATTTTCAGGGACAACACGAGACACGTTTGAAGGCAAGACAGTGGTGGAATTGAGGTATGAAGCATATGTACCAATGGCAATACGCTGCATCAAATCCATCTGTGCGTCAGCTAGATCATCCTGGGATCTACATTCCATTGCAGCTGTACACCGCCTAGGCACGGTTCCTGTAGGAGAAACAAGCGTGTTCATTGCAGTATCAGCTACCCATCGTGCTGATGCCCTGGATGCTTGTAAGTTTTTGATTGATGAGTTAAAGGCATCTGTTCCAATATGGAAAAAGGAGGTGTATTCCAATGGAGAGGTTTGGAAGGAGAATTCAGAGTTCATGGAGAGGAGGTTTGAACTTGGGAAAAATGGTGGAGGCTGTTGCAATGGAAGGAAGACGGAGACTAAGACTCATAGCAGAAAAGGATGCTGTGCCACTAAAGTCAAGGTAAATGATGAAAGAGCTGGAGTGCTGGATATTAGCCCTAGGTAAAATAGCAAGGAAGTTGAGATTTTTTGGCAGAGCAAGCAACTGCCAGTAGATTCTGTCTTTACAGTTTTATGTTCTAATTTTTGTTCCAATAATCGGGGAAAAATGTACCCTGCATATTTCAGTTTTATGTTTCAATTTTTTGCCAAGCATTTTTTTAGTTTGGAAGTTTCTGATGGAATTTAAGATATAACCAACAGCACTCTAATTTTCACATAGAAACAACAAAATACCAGCTGGTGTGTATCCAGCTTACAAGGAGCAGCAAATTGATGTTTAAGGAAACAATCTGTCACAATTCAGATGATAAAATGATCATAATAGGAAATATGATCTATTCCTACACACCACCGAAGCAGAGCATTTCACCCAAAAGCATCTCCTTTCATATTCAGTTTAATTCTTCATGATTTGGCAAAAGACTCTTGGCTGGAGAGAGGAGAGCAACAGCACTGTGATTTGCACCAGAAAATTTCCGGTACACTGCCTTGAGCTTGCCTTCTGCAGCTGTGGAGTGGAATTTAACCAAAACCTTTGCACAATCCCTGTCATACAAACAGAAAAAGGAAGAGACCAACTTATTATACATGTTGTATAAAGGGTTTTATGGGAAAAAGGAGTTAAAATAAAGAAGAGAAGGGTGATTACATCAGCTGTTCTTCAGAGTAGCCTGTGTGGAACTTCAAAGTTTCACTCCAAAGAGGTCTTTTGTCAAGTGTGCATCTTGCTGCATAAACTACAGCAGCAGCAAACAGGGAGGGATGGTGCAGAACAATGGCCTGGTACTGCATCAGGCCGAGTTCAGCAAGGAAAAACACCAAATTCTCCATCTGCATTAGCACCAGATCAATGGATTTAATATGGTGTTTCTTCTTTTTCATTTTTCTCACTCCGAAACTAGTACTATTATACTATAGTAATGGTAAATAGTTACTACCTCGTTGTCAGATGGGATTGAGGCTTTGATATATCGGGCCAAGAAGACATATGGGGTAGGAACAGTCAAGTACCATTCCAGCTTGTTCAGGATTGCCTTCTCCATTACCAGGACCTGATCTCTCATATAGGCATTGTCTGATATGAAAACAAAGTCATTAACCTGAAAATTTTCAGAAACCAAAGAAAAGGTTAGATTACACATTGCAGCAGAAGACAGCAATTTCAGTTCAATATGATAATGAGCGAAAATTGGTTCACAATAATACCTCAGGAGGCCATATCTCTTCATACTTGCATGCTATGAGCATTGCACCAATGCCAACCAACTGAAGTTCCCTACTGGACACAACCTTTTTAGAAAGGAATCGATCCACTATGTTTATGGTGAGATAGAGGGTTTCTGGCATAAGCTCGAATTTGCCATGAACTTCAATCAACCAGTCCACTAGGATCGCCCTCATCTTTGCATTGATTTCAGGCTGTAAATCAATGTAATTCTGTACTCGATCATCTCCCTGTATCATAAAAATGTACGATGTCAGCAAAAGAAAAGGGTGATCTTCATTGAGTGT